GAGCGCTATACGCATCAGTTTGACTCGGAGAGTCAAAAGGGAGTGCCTCTTACTGCAGAGCTGTAGGTCGTCATTCTGCTGGCTGGATTTTTTTTTTTTTTTTTGTTGTGCCAGTGACCATTCCTTTAAATCTCTCAGAAACCGACCGAGCGTCGTGCATCTTTCAAAGCATATTATGTTCCAATTTTAATTTGGATATGTCTTGCGGTTCGGGACTCTGCCCCATAAAGGGAGGGGGGTGTTGCAAAAAAAAAAAAAGGGCGAGACGAGAGAGAACAAATCGGCAAAGTAAAAAAAAAGAAAAGAAAAAGAAAGCACCGCTACGAAGACCACGGGGGCGGTTGGGTCAGTGGCGCTATCAAAGAGATATAACTCTTCACTAAGGTTGGCTCAATAGGCCAGATGAGGCCGGGGGAACAATCGGAAATGGAGGAAGCTACGCAAAGTTAAGCCTTTCGCCTGATACCTCCAAGGGCCAGGCCAGAGTTACATAAAAATAACACAGCCGAAGGCCGCAAGAGGCCATGGCAACACGTGGAAAATGGTTAGGCAAACTTTTGGGCGCCCTGTGCTTCCAGCGACTGAGCGTCAATTTGCACGCCTCGAATGCGCAGGCGGGTCAGCGGCTGTCGGTGACCTGCGATCGGAACAGAATGTGGGTGAATGAATCAGATTGTACAAAGTGAAAGAAGAAGAAGAAAAAAAAAAAAAAAAAAAAAAAAAGCAAAAGCAAAAGCAAAGTCGAGGCGCTATCGGTACAAACCTTTCTTGCGAGCATAGCCTTGGCGCCTTTTCTTCTTAAAAGCCACGATCTTCGCACCCTGGACGTGCTCCGTTACCTCAGCCAGCACAGTGACAACGTCCGTCCTAAAAAACGGCATGCAACGCAAGCAGCCGCCATCGAACCACAGCAAAATGATTTTCCGCGCCGCGAATTGCCCAGCCAAAGCTTAAATGGGTATGCATCGTGTGTCAACGCGGCGCACACACGCGGTCTTACCGCAGCAGTGGCTGTCCAATCAAAGAGAAACTGGGTCCACCGCTCAAGAGCACCTGGGTTGATTGAGCAAACGTCGAGGCGGCAGTGGGATGATGCTTGAGTCCAGCTTACATCTTGTCCGACCCAAGAAGACGAGGAAGCAGGGGGCGCTCGTTGACAACCGGTCCGGATGCGAGCACAAACCTTCTCCAGACGGATGAGAGCCCCCAGCTCAGCATCCAGGCGGTGTGTGGTGATGACATCGTCGGCGCTCACTTTGTACTGCTTGCCAGCCACTTGGACCACGGCAAAGAAAGGGTTGCCGCGCTTGAGGTCCCGGGTGACGGCCTCAGCCACGGTCTGTTCCGAGGTCAGCTCAAGCTTGGGCTGAGTGACGGCAGTGCGAACGCCCATTGGTTGCCGGGTGAGGGCTTGGCGCAGGGCTGTGACAGGGGCCAGACCAGCACCCTGCGTCGGCAACCGCAAGGCTGGCGTCACCAGGGACACGGCACGTCGCCACATGGCAATGTTTAATATAAAAGTCAAGATGGTCTCAAGCCTGGTTGGTCGATGCCTACGGTGATCCGATCATCAAGTAACCCAGCGCCCACCCCACATCAAGAACGAGAGAGAAAGGAAACCAAGGGCAGACACCAAGGAACAGAGTCGGTCCGGGTTCAGCAAGGGACGGAAGCGACAGCAACAACGCAGAGTTCGTGAGGGCAAAAAGAAGAAGAAAATAAAACACCAGCGTACAGACTAAACAGGCCAAGGCCCAGTCAATGCTTTGGCTGCGCCCTGTTGTTCAACCATCAGCTCGACCGAACCCGGACCCAACCCGCTGCCCTAGCCCCAACGACGTTTGGCTGTTGCCACTTCCACTCGTTTCATCGGACACGAAGGCCCACCAACCTGCACCCCGTCAAAGCAGGCATCGAACAACTTACCCTCTCAGAAACCGTACCTGTCCTAGTTTCACACCACCCACACGCGGCAGAGAAGGGTCCAAGCAGAGCGAGGCAGTGGCTGCCGTTTGCGCCCACCACCAGTCAAAGCGAAAAGACAAAAAAGCTTCCGCGTGTTCAACAGAGAGAGAGAGAGAGAGGGAGAGAGAGAGAGAGAGAGAGAGAGAGAGAGAGAGAGACAGAGAGAGAGAGAGGGAGA